AATTCATAGAGGCTTGCAAGAGCGGTACGAGTTTCTAATTTTTTTTTCTTAGAAATACAGAGATTTATTTAATTTATTTTTAATTTATTAATTTTATTATTCTATACTCTTGTCGGTTTAACGCTTTAGATGTTTTCCCAGACTATTTTCCTTATTTCTTATTAAACGTTAATTATTTTCTCATAAGTATACATATATTCACGAAACTTTATCCTTGATTCCTTTGAACAACAGTCATAAGGAACAGAAAGATTTCTTCGATTATGTTATTAGTAAAGTAATCGTATATAGAAGTCCAATATCAAGTTATTTATTAACGAAATTTTTTTAGTTAATGAAGAAAAAGTTGGCGACGGAGCCCAGGGATGTGATCGGGCAGCACTTATGTTCAAATGCAGTGTTGAAAAGGCCCCTGAGGTAAAAATAATCTATAAAATTAAAATAAAACGGCTCTTTGTAGTTACGAAGTAACTATTGAAACTTTAAACTGTTAGATCGATGCATTGCCCCGGCGTTGCGACGCCTGAGCGGTGACGCTGCGTTGTGCTGCATGTATTATAAATTAGGACTACATGCCCTTTTTTTCATATTGTCGTCACCTCTGAAGGGTTCGATCGCCGGCCGGGTGAATGTAGAAAAACTAACGTCTCTATATTGCCTCGGGTCTGGGTGCTTTAGTTACTTACTTTGGAATCAGAGCAACATATGTGTGACGTTGTAATAACTAATATACTTCACGGTCTTATTTTATGTTACTTTGATTTCCTGTTCTGGCCAATACTTTCTAAAATTATCCTTTTTTGTTTCAGTTTGACTTCGCTACGTAATCGTAAGATGAAATTAGAGGAAGGAAATAGCAATGCAAAATAATATTATACTGTAATCATAATAATAAACTCTACAATTATTGTTTGTTTTTAATTTCACAAAAAAAAATACCCAGATAATATTTTATTTTGTGATGTCAATTATTATACCAGTCTTTGGAATGACACGAATGTATGTAATGTGTATGTAACCATGTTTTTTAGTTTTAGATGGTATCTAAATAATAATGTATAATCTCTAGGAAATGAAACTATTTTTCCGGATTTAAATCGCGTATGTTTGCTTTGTCAAACAAACCGACGTTTCGGGCCCTTTACAGGTCCCATGGTCACGGTTAACTGATTTCCTATGTGTTACAATCGCGAAAACCTAAGAACTGGATATGTATAATCTATATTATTTATATAGAATTAAAAAATTTCATATAGGCATATCTTTGGTTGAACTCTGTGCCTATTTCGTTTTTAAATAATTATAAGTTTTATAGAAAATACCTATCTGAAATTTTTTTGTGGAATTATGTACGTACATCTATTCGTAAGTTTTAACGGAATCGGTTAACGGAACCTGAAATTAAATAAACTGATTTGCCACCCTTAGAGGTAGAATATTTTCTTCAAATTTGAATGAGACAACTACTGCGGTACCCCAAAAAAAGGAATCATCAAAATCGATTCACAAATATCGGA